ATTATATCACAAGTGTAAAATGATTCGTGGCTAATATCAAAGTAGACTGACAAAGATAACGTATATAACAAAATTTCAAAATTTCCTGACGGTAATTTTGATCTAGATAAGTCGATAGTAAGTGAATTCAAGGTTTATCTACACTACCTATTTATATTGACTACAAGATATTTTTTACTCAGGTAATATGTATAAACAAAAACGTAATTATAAGTCATTAGACAATAATCTCAAGGAATCATCGTTTTCCTATCAAAAATGAAATAATTCCGAGGAATTTAAGAAAGATTTGTTGCTTTAGTTGATGATTTACAAAATCTGTTAGATATATAAATATAAGTACTGGTAAAAAATAAAATTTTGTAAGGGTTTTAAGATAATGAGTTGTAGATTAACACGCTGTCTGTTCATTAAAATTATGTTTGACGTTATCAGAATGATGAACATGAACTATTGGTGATCCTATAATATATAGTTAATTTAAACAAATATATCTAATAGTGAACTTGACTGATTTGATTTATAGTTAAAGTTATCAAGTTTTGACTACTCAGTGGCACATTCAGATTCTACCTTATCTAATATCGTTGAGTAGTAAAGTCTATTCTCAATAATCCACATATGTATTCAATTGGTATTTTTCAGAATTTTAGGGAACCTATGGTTCTCGTCATTAAAGTTTCAGTTAACATTAGAAGTAAGCGATGTAAGATTACTGTAATCTACTCTAAACTACTTGCATACAACCTACTTATTGGGTGATTATTTTCAACTGAAGACTATCAGTAGTTTTTTACGTAGTTATTGGTCACCAGTCTAAAGTTAACTATCATATCCCACAAAGTTGTTTGCTGATATTTTTTTCTGGTTTTGAATCACTGATTTCTAATGAAACTTAACTGCGTAAAACTAACTAGGCAATTAGTAATAAATATTCATTCGCATTTATTGTATAATTGTCATGTGGGACACTTTAATCGATTGCTTTTTTATGTATAGAATTCTAGTTCAAACTGTACCTCACCAAATGGCTCAACACTTACCATGTATGGTACACAACATCGTTTTAAAATCAGCCCAAATACATATCACGATCTGGAAAACGGAAATAGTTTGACTACTACAAGTATTGGTCCTCGTCCGGATACAGATCTAGACTCAGCATTCCCACCGAAAAAGCTATACACTGACGATATACCTGTTCTGTAAGTAACAATTTATCCATGGTCATGAATTTATTTCAAATAAATTTGCTTACGTTTGAATTATCTCCATTTTTTGAGTGATATAAGGCTGAAATTTAGCAATGTAATATTTTTAACTGTTAGTCTGTAAAAAATAAACTAAGTTATACACAGGGAGATTATTTGATTGTCAATTTAGATCCTATCCATCATCAGTAAAACTTAACACATACTATTCTTTTTGGCAAAAGTTCGGTTTTGATAAATCCATTGAAGTTGTGTATTTTGCTCTTTGTCGTATTAATAAATAAGACATGATAATTGGCTTTCTTTCTTTTAGATTTGGTGGTTGCTTGAGAACTTATTATTTGAAGGTTAGATAATTGCATTGAGATTTAGAAAATGTTATGCAATTGATAACTTCATCATTTATATTTTGACAATTAATACAAAAGAATAACAACAATTAATGAGTTAATAAATTAGATTCGAACTAATTCTTAGTTGAATATTCCTAATATTGTGTATATAAAGTATTTTACGTGGTACAGGTTAGGTGGATTGTAATAAGTAACAATTGTGATTTATTATCATCCTGGTCATTCTGAAATACGTTTCAACAAATTCAGTACCCATAACTTTAGTGGCTTACTAACTGTTCACATTGATTATCTTATGTAGAGTAACAAGTTGGATCAATATGCAAAATATCTATTATAATCTGAATTATCAAACTACTACAATATATCCAGATACTGAGTAGAAATGATAAGAATTTTATTTTTCCTACTGAAGTTGAACCTTTCTCTTTCACTAATGAAACTAGGGGAATTCGTATACTTGTGGGTAAATTACACATATATTTTAGCTGAACAAACCAAACATCAGAGAATATTATTCAGTAATAAAATTTATGTAGGTTCCATCTGTATCCGAATTTATTGTGATAAATTATTTGTAGCTGAATTCATGAGTTGATGTAACCTGGACCACCATTGAAAACCTGGAAGCACTGGACAGCCATTTCGTCCTAGTACTGGACTCCCCAATAATGCGCGTCCACGGATTCGAACACAGGACCTTCGATCTCGCGTGCGAACGCTTAACCTCTGGACTACTGAGCCGGCATCCAATGGTGTTAATGTCTAACTTCCATGTTCAACACTTTAAAAGTTGCAGAAGTGAAATGTCTTTTTCGGCTTCGATATTTTATTTACGTAACTTAAACATCGATAAAACTAACTTGAGTTACTATACTTAATACAATATTCCTTCAATAAGCATTCAACTTGATTAATTATTTGGATATTTCCATCATTTGCATTTTTATGGCATTTTGTAGTCGAAGTAATATATCTTTTTTATGATGAATAAAATTGCAAACGTTTTGTAGAATCAACCCATTCTTAGTTGATTGCTTCCTGACCAAGTGCGGTTTTAAATCTCATTCATAACCACAGTTAAGTATCATTTAATCATATTACTTGCAAAATTTAATAATCTTCATCTGTATCTTATATACCAAGAAATGATCATCTAAGCTTATTGAAATAATGATGGATATGGATGATAATGTGAGACCGAAGATCCTGGGTTCGATTCCCAGATCTGAGGTCATAGATGCGCAGCTCTGAGGAATCATATACCAGGTAGAAACGGCCATTCTGTGCTTCCAGGTTTCAAGAAGTGGTTTATGTGGATCAGTCCATGATTTAAATTGTTAAAAACCTCTACTGTTTTAAAATAATAGCCATCGGCGAAGAGCTCTGAGATAATAAATCTTAAGATTTAGATTTCTCTTTATTTGCTAATCACGTGTTCATGATAATTTGTGTTAAGAATGACTCAGTTTGTAAAGCGACATTTTGAATGACAATTTCTGCAGTGTACAGTATCTCTCTTAAACATCAGTCACATATCGTTTGTTAATCGATGCTCTTGTTTAGCAAAATGTTTATCTGGAAATTCACATCATAAGCCAGAAGATTTAGAACGGAAATCTACACCAAATAATCAAAAAAAGTTTGGATTTTCTAATGCATTATTTACTAAGTCATAATATCAATAACAATAGTTACCCAATTGTTTATGCAAACTAGTTTTTAGAATGGTTCGACTTGTTTTGTGTATAAAACTTAACAATTATCATCACAATATGAAGGAGGATATAACATGTTCGGAATATCTACTGTATACTACACTAGTATATTTATTGGATTTTTCAGGAGTGTAGGTTAAGGTTGCGTAACATGTTTCTAAGGTACTCAAGATCCTAAACTTTTAGCCATGCATGTTTAAATGTGTTACTCACAGTGGCGCAGATATATTTATTATCTCTGTTAAAATTTTGAGCGTAGTTTTGTACTTTAATTTTGATTTGCATGGTTTACTCGTTTCTTTTACGCTAAATTCATTTTGTTAATTTTCTACTACTACTTCTATCATTTCGTTTACTACTTTACGTCTAATTTACTTAATTTCTTTATATTATGGTCATGTAACTTTTGAAAGCTTCAACCAATGGATACTTGAGACAGGTTTCAAGTCATTTATGTTTGACTACCTATTTGAATTACCTGGAACGATGTGCTTTTTCACATGAGTAATAAATTACTCTTTAAATTTTAACATATGCATCAAACGTTTCCTCCACATAAGATTTTGGTGTTAAATAAAATAATCTTTGTATAGATTACACAAACGTCACTTAGGGTTTATCGATTTTGCTTCCTGCAGTAAATGAGTATATTTATGATTTTCAAAGCTGTAGAGTACAATGTACAGTAATACATACGTTATCTAAATTGTACTTAATCAGATGTCAATTAATGTCTTCACGCATTAGATTTGTTAAGAACTTTATAAATGCAAAGTACTTCTGAAAAACTGGCAGAAACTGATGCTTGTATACACTCTTTGTGTTGAACCGTTGGTAAAAGATGTGTTCTAATGAGAATTAGCCAATTTTTGTTTCACCATAGTCTTAGCACCGCTTATAATTTAACACGTTGTTATAATCATTCATCTAACTTTTCTTCACTTTCCTTATACTCACCAAGTGAGAATTTCTGTTTTTATTTCTTATTACTTCTAGGGCTACCACGTAACTTACATCCGATACTCTTTTTTATTTATTTTTTGACAGCTTTATTAAATAACACAATGATCCTCTATTTCATCATAGATCTGTATGTGTAAAAGTTATCTAAAGATACGAATAATGTAAATTATATTGTCGATAAGAAGATTTCCTTTACTGAATCATTTTCATTTTAGTCTAACGACATCAATAGTTCTCTTTAGTTGTTTGGGAATGTAGCTTGTTCATTCTTTTACTAATTGAGGCACCTTTCCCTTCTTTGTTTCTTTACAATATCTTTACTTCTTCTGTATGGTGAATTATTTTTTGGAGCTCTATAGTACCAGAATTTATGTGCTTTAAATAAACGAAACAATATCAATGCAGCAAAACATTTGTTGCTTATGTGTTTGAAAATGTTTATTGAGAGCAAACGACCTTAATAATGTAAGCATAATTGATAACAGTTAGTTTCTGAGCCCTCATTTAAAAAATCAAAAGACTAATCAGGTTACTAAGATAAGTTAACTGTGATATCTGAGATATATACATTATATTCTAAGCCAGTATCTATTTTTTTATCTGAACCCTAGTTAAAGTAGAAAATCCACAAGAATTACCAAACCGAATAACTCTATTAAGTAGTTCATTTATTCCCTATTGGATTAAATTGTATACGGTACTGTTTCTTAAATTTTAAGTCACTAATACACCAGTTAATTTAACCAGTAGATTTGAAATTTATGATAAAAACTTAAACATTACTATATCAGATTATGTTGTTTTGCCTAGTTAATCATTGAGAAGTAAAAAGTTATTCTTCATATCTTTTTCATATAGTAAAACAAACAATTTTATATTCATTTTACATAATAGGTAGCTTCTGTAAATTACTGTATTTAACTTAATCATATATATACTTTAAATGTTTGGTACATATGTCTATAAATATCAAATGATATACAAATTTGGGGCGTGGTACCCTTATTTGTAGTAAGCAATATAAACAAAACAAAAAAGACTCAGTGAAAGACCATAGTCATAGTAATAATAAACTGATAAAAATGAAATTTAATTCACTGAATTAACTAAGAGATTAATAACAATAACTCAGACGATAAAGTGTTGATTTACTAATAGTGTTGACGGCAATATTGATAATGAAATAATAGTTGGAAGTGATTCATCTTAGTTGTTTTGATTCTTCATATATTATAAACTTTCCAGTTGTGAATGCAAAATTTTTTTTTGATATTTGTATATACATGGGTTACTTATGTGTGTATTATTATTGTGTTTTTTTTTACACTTATGTGCTTGTCAGTAAACAGCAAAGATGTATAGAATGGAATATTCTTATCAAAATTTTTTTTTGTCAAAAATTGACTAAACAAAATGTTAGACTTATCAAAAGATTTAGGAGTTATGTAGAAAATTAATATTTCGTTTTGTTTCTAATTTAGTTATCTCTAGAGAAAATGAGTAACACTTAACCACATATTAGTAATCATAGTAAAGCTGTTCCCATTTAGTCTATGTAAATGACATTTGTAAAGATATATTCTTGATCTTTGTTAGATTAACAATAACTTGATAGAATAAATAAAACTAAACAATGAATAAGATCAAGGTGAACTCAGTAGATGATGATTAATCATTTTAATTTCTTGTTACGAAAATGTTACTTACTACTGTTAGTAGCACAATTCTAATAGTTACAAAATTCTGTATCAATTTCACTCAAAGGTAAAATGAAATAGTTTTTGAAACTTTTTTTTCGTGAAATAAATGAACGTTTAATCATGGGAATCATCACTTCAGCTTGTAGAGTGAAATATATTCCAACTGTTAGTTTTAAAATTTGTAGTGTCGTCGTTTAAGCTAATGAATCATTGAAAACCAGGAGAGATTTCAATGATAATCAAGGATTCTGCTCTAACAGTAAAATGTATTACCTAGGAATTCAAGGACTTCTACTATAAGACTCGAAGCTATAATGTTACTGCTATTTTATTCTCTCATATTTTCAGTAATTCATTAAACGAAAACAGAATAATAATCGTTTATAGATTAAGAATAAATTATCTGAATGATACTTTGCTTACTTTGTCCGTTTTCTGTATTATTTGATGATATTCGATATATTTTATCATCCTAACGTTCATATAACATTCATTTTATTAAACTATAGAGAATCATTTCCCGGTTTTTACGGTTTCGATCTTTATCGACCATTATGTGGTGATACTTATGAAGCAAGTGAAACAAAACCGAGTACTGCATTTTTTGTAAGTAAACTGTATATCTAACCAATTAAAGCTTTATAAATCATTTACTTATTATTTCATTGTTTTAGGATGCATTTTTGGATTACACAGGCTTCTTAAATGAGTCATTTAAACTGTTATACTCACTTGTGATAAGAAGTATATTCGCTGTAGAAGTATGTTAACTGGATAATTTATTAATCAAGTATTCATTTTGGCACTATGCACGACGAGTAAAAACGTATAAACACACAATTTAGCTATAACTGTTTTAATGTTACTGTTCGACGAATGTTTCTGAATATTATTTATGCATGGAGTCGTTTTCAGACTCTGATAATGCCCAGAGTTGGAGCTGTTACTTTTTACTACTGATAACAAGATGTTTTCTAAATAATTGAAAACATTGGCTAGCTAGCCTGGGGATTTATTATTTATTTATTTATTATTGTACTGTCCTCACTTCAGTGATAAATAAACTATCCTAAATCTCATTCTTCTTTATATTTACTATTGGACTGTAGTATTTTAAAGATGAACAAGGATGGACAAATTTGTATGCGAAGAAAACACCTACATGGTGGACATTATCCTATTGGTGTCAACGTAAACCCCCAGAAGGTTCATTCATTCGTTTAACACCAGTTTATGGGGCATCAGACAAACAACAGGAAGTAATCCAGAGGTAAGTTTCTTAAATTTCATTAGTGAAAACAAAAATCATTGTAATTTTTGTGAACTTATTCTTATATTGATGACTGTTTCATTTTAATTGTTACTGAGACGTGGTTTTAATTTGTTACACTAAGAACCAGATTCGCTGATATTCATAACGAACAAATTTTCTGTGTTTGTTGGCTCCCAGTTATAATTTTAATTTCTTTGAGCTAGTTGGTTGATTTGTAAAGTTGAGGAATTATGTTATGATGTCTCTTATTAAGTTGGGAATCTTTGACTTGATATTTTTTAGTAAAAGTTAATCCAATAAAGTGCTGTTTCCATTTTAGTCTAGGTAAACTGGTCTTCTATTCCTTACACTATCTGACAAATATATAACAAATACATTCGGAATATTTTCTCACTCACAAATTAGCTTATTTAAATAGATTATTAAAAATTATATTTCAGTAGTGTGTACACGTGTATAGACAGTTACATGTACACTAATGTCAAAGGAAGAATGTAATAAATAAGTAATACTGTTTTATTCACAAATTAAGATAGTTTAGGTGTGTAAAATATTGAATCCCGACTCATCTAATGATATCGGGTCTGCCGAGAGTTCTAAACTTCCTGGGTTTAATCTCAGATGGGTTTTTAGGTTGACGCACTCATGTGGAGTTCAAAACTTGATCAGGAGAGATACCGAGTACTTTCTGGTTGTCAACGTCACTTTGACATCAGTTCATAGTAAAAATTTACCTTAAAAATAAATATAAATCACTGACAATTACTATTAAAAAGCTTTGTACTCTAGAATTCTAAATTCAAACCAAATTTTGTTTTTGTTCCTTATAAAAGCGTAAGTTTTCTTTCGTTCTATATTCATTTTTGTGGAAAATTTCCCTAATATTATCGGTTATTTTTCTATCCATTCGGAACATTTGACTATTCTTCTAATAAAATTCACTTATACAGTTTTCTAAGTCTATAATTTTTGAGAGGAAGAAAAATAAAGGTAGAAAATTTTTTTCTTTTCTATCCATTACCTACTTTGTCATAAATATTCACTTCTATCCATAAATATATTTATAACAGACAAATGATTCCCCCTTCCAAATAAACTCTATAATAGTATCGTATCGCTTTTATTTGTCTGATAAGCAAATAATTTTAAAGTAATGATAATTTTCTATGGTTTGTTTGTAATTCAGTCAATAATCAGGAAATAAATAGAATAGCATCAGCTGTTGAATTTCCAATACTTTAAAAGAATATGGATCAGTAAAGTCAAGTGTTAATTTTTAGTAATGACTAAAAATAAAGTCTAAAACGGACATTTCGTCACATACGACACCCGTCAATCGACTGTATCTAAAAATTAATGCTATTGTTTTCGTTGAGAATTGAACTCAGTGTTTTCTACCAGCTAAAAGATATAATAAATATCAGTTATTGTTGAGTAGTTCCAAAATATCGTTCCCCATAATACCAAAACGGTTCAATTTTGATCTTGTTAAAGGTTATCATTAAGTATATAGATGGATTGCAAAGAAAGATGTGACAACTGCCTACTCATCATTTCCCAAACCAACAAGAGAACATTCTTCAATTAATTTCATCTCAACACATTTCTTGTACTATGAAATATTTGAATATTCATAGACATTTTATTCAGATTGTTTTCAAATTTCTAAGTATATTTAAGAAGTTATTAGAATCTATAAGAAATTAATATTGAATAAATAGTTTTTATCCATAATGTGTAAATAAATTTTTCTCATATCACTTCTTTTATTATTTCTCTATTCAGATGTTTTGAAGATTTTATGGCGATTCCAACCACTGGAATGGGTCGTTACAGTATAGTAATGGTTGGTAATTCATTAGCTGAATACTTTTTTGATCCAATAACAGAACGATTATGCGTTACTTTACCATATGAAACACCTAAAGGTAATTAGTAGTTTAAAAAAAACCTTTCCACCTCAATCATTCATACTCATTTGATTTTTCGTGTAAAAATAATAAATGTATTGTGAAATAGTGTATCTTCTAAAAGATTCATTTTCTTGTTCGAATTCTAGTCAAATTAATTAAGATTGTGTCAGAATTTAAATGTATTGTGTTTTTATATTTTTTACTTCACTTGTCATCTTTACTTAAACATGTATATTCTTACTTAATAACTCAAATAGTGTAACTGAATTTGTTTTATGATAAAATTAAAATTGTTAAATAAAGTCAATAGCTGTAATTGTAGTGATTACACTAGATTAAAAAACCAATTGATTATCACCCTCTATATTGTATACGCTTTTTTAACTGCAGAAGGATGTGAATATAGTCAGTTCAATGGGAAATTTATGTGTTTCAATAGTTGTTTATATAATGGTGGTCAAGGGAACAAGAAACCACTCTTCTTAATCATAACTTTAGAACGTTTAATAACTGGGTAAGTGTATATTAATTTATTAAAATATAACAATTATTAAAGTAATTATCTTTAGAATCAGCTAATGAATTATATTTGTCACTTTAGTGATTTTAATAATCTGTTAACTTCAAACATTTTAATACAACTCTTGTTTTAGTACTATAAACTGATCATCTAAAATTTAACAAATAGGGATTTGTGTATATTAAGTATATAAATGCTTTACAGATGTATTGATCTTATCAAGTTTGATAAAGTAAAAATGGGTTTAATAAGAGAAAACAAAGAACGTTCAACACTTCCTGGTTTTCGGTGATTCCATAAATGATACTATTTGTGATCTCTATTTTTTGTTATTAATAGATAGTTAGTGTAATGTATTGTATATTCAATGGATTTTAATATGTGTATATCACGTTGGATGTGTTTTTGATGCAATATTGAATGGAAATATGAATGAACTAGATATGAAGTTTAATTATCAGCTATAACGAAAGTGAATAAATCTATGACCAGTAAACCTAATGTTCTTCTATTCTTTAATATATAGAAAGATATCATTTATACTAAATGAATATAAAGACGTTCGTATTTATTGAAAAAAAAATATATCTCCACATCTACAGTGAATTGAAAAAAAAATGATGAAGACAATAACAATAGAATAGATGATAATAGTTTTGGTTTGTCAATTTTACATTGACATGCTTCAGCATGTTTTAAAATCTTTTATTAGAAAAAAATTACCATATACGTTTGAAGTAAAAGTGTGTCTATAATTTTGCTTTTCTGAATGTGGATATATATACCCCCTGGAAGCGAGAGAGGTGACGATATGTACATTTGTAAGGTAGTGAGAGGGGTGTTACATACTCTTACTTATATACTGTACAAACTGAAAAAAAAACCATTAAGTATATTATGTACTTATGCTGTATTGAAATTACTTAGTAACTAAGGTCATTTCAGAATCATATACAAATTTATCATTTTATATACTATTCATGGGTATACGTATTTATTTATTTCCATCTTAAATCTCATTTTGTCCTATGTCCAAAACGATTAGACCATGTAGTGACCAGACGTGACCTGAACTAACTTATAGGTTAGTGAAATCGCTAACAAATATGGTAAAAATAACAATAACAACAACCATAAAAATATAATACTATTCATATAAGAATTTAGTTTGAATAATAAAAGAAAGATATAGAGATAGAGAAAGTGATGAAAAAGTCAATTTGTCTGGTCACGGGGGTATTCGTTAAAAAAACTAGAGTCACAATCATAAGTCTTTAATAGCAGAATAGATTAGTTTACGTTGTCTACAGATTAAACAAGTAAATAAATTTATAGAAAACAAAAGAATCTAGACATGACATACTTTGAGAAAGTTTATTCGTGCGGGTGAATGAATCAGATGTTGAGTAGTCGTTTGAATGTTGATGCATTTAAACAGAAATAACATTTATTAACTGAACAAAACCACCAGTTAATAAAACTAAATAACATTGGTTTCATGAGAGTGTAAAGCGATAAGACTATCATACATGATAACCTGTAATGTTTAAAAGGTTTACAAAAAATCTAATGTCATAGAACATTTTTAATCGACATAATTACTGTGAAAACTTTACAAGCAAGTTCATTTCAAAAGCAGAAGTCTAATAGACTTTGCTATATTTTAAAAATTATCAAGTCATTAAAATAGATAATCAAACCCTTAGGAATTGGTGCAATCCTCAAAATTATCTAGTCTATTCTAACCAAGTCTAACAAGTTATGGAGTTCACTTTCCTGCTCGTTTAAACAAGTGAGTATAATCTCAGAAGCGAGATAAACTATTTGTTGATGACACCTGATATTAGTTGTCCATAGGTTTACAAGTTAGTCAACATCGATTAGATTAAACAAAGCAATTTAAGTGTGTACTATAGTCATCTTAATAACAAGTTTATTTTGTGTTAAAAATCTCATAACCGTATTATGTTTGGATATTCCTGTCATAGTAATTGGAAAATACAATTTAATTCTTATTAGAAATTACTGAAAACAAGTAGTATGTTTCTTGATTTTAAGTTAGTGTGTTGGTTGTAATCATCAATTAATTTTTAAAAGTAAACCTACTCAGAGAAGACTACCTTCAAGCATTTCAGTAGCTCTTACATTATACATACAGTCACAAGTGTGCGGTACTCTTAAATAAATAATTAGATTAGCTTTATATTAGTGGCTTCAGACCAAAGTATATATTGTGTAAATAGACTTTTTGAATAAACTACCATGGAAATAGTGAGGTAAATTTCGAAAATTTTTTTGTTGAAAGTTAAAAAAAAAATAAACTGAGTGCGATTATCAAAATATATTCACAAACATATCAAGAAAATCGGAAATGATTGTTGAAATTAATATTATCATGTTGCCTGTTGAATAGTTAGAGGAAATATTAACATATAAAGTATATAAGATCGAAAGGTTGATAGACCTTTTTTATCAGAAAATTACTGTCAGCCTGCTAAGTTCCGTGAACATGAGATTCGAATAGTGATACATACGCTTCTTATATGCACGTTCAAACCAGCTATTTGAGTGAGAAAACCAAACGTGACTGGTGAGCTTTTATTGGCTGAGCAAATCGGAAATATATGAAGAGCTCACTCATAAATATAGATACCTGTCCCACAGAAAATTAAGCTATGTTTTCTATCAGTAGGATACGTCTATTTCGTCAGAAAGTTAAGCCGATAGTTACAGTTAAACCTATAGTGTATATACGTCATCATCTCTTGCTTCTCATCTAATCTATGCATGATCATCCTAGAGTATAACTATTCTTCTCCTACTTCTTGTAAGCACAAACATTTCAATGAAAACATTTCTTGTTTCTTTTTGATAAAACAGGTCTGATCCAAGTAAGGGACATTGTGAAGTACTTGGACGTCAGTGCATCAAATTTCGTAGTTGCGCATGTCCTAAACGAGATAAAGAGAATAACGAAAGACGTACTGGAGATTCCTTAGTAATTGGTACTCCTTCATTAGGTAAACGCAGGAAGGAATCAAGTAAGTGAATTTGTTTAGTCTCAATTTTTATAGATTAGTTTATACTACTGAGAAATAAAAACAGTATTATCATTTGAAGTAACTATTAAACCATTAGAAATTACCAATTAAACTCATATGCATGAAAAGTGAAGTTAACCTTTCGGTACACTAACAGTTATAGCTATTTATAATTTTCATACAATAAACATCTAAGTGGATTCTCATAAAGAAATTTAGAAGATATCAGTTTGATAGTGAAATATCAACGTCGAATTGAGCGATTCTTTCTTGGTTAGTTAACTAAGATTAGTAAGTACTGTGGGTCAGGAGCTAATGAAAATTTACATCATAATTCGTAGCCGTAAAAATCATTTACTTTACTGTTTAACCGGTGCTAAGGATATAACAAATTTCGAGTATAATCACTATTTAAAAAAGTTATTTTTTTAGTATTTAATTTACTTTAGTTATCCATAAGACACACTATTAGATCATTCTTACTTCTTATCGTTTGTGTTTGGATCAAATCTTTCCTAAACATTTGAATTCCCAAACTGTTTGTTTATTGAAACATATGTGAACTTAAAGTTACATCGATTGTCATAGCCAGCTTGAACTTGAAATACTGATCAATCAAAAATTAAGTTTGAAGGATACAACTCTACTTAAGTATTCCATTATTGGCTTGTTCTTAGTTATTCCAAGTGAAACTTTCGTAATAATGTGTCAAAAAATTATTACCTTAATCAACTGAGTTATTTCCGTATGGTTTGATTGATCACAATAACTATAGCTTTTTACTGTAGATAGAAGGTAGCCACATTAGATGTTTTCGGAATTTCCTGCAGCAAACTGTATAGATTCCTGTGTTTGTTTGCCAGTAAATCAAATTAACTGACAACATATCATAACAAAATTACAGTGATGTTTGTTAGTACTTTTTCATAATACCTAATGATAGAAATAGATAACATTCTTCAAAAGTTATTTCGAGCTATTCCCTTTATTTCCAGACGATCGTAATGATCGACAGGTCAAACGGATACGTTCAAATCAAAGACCATCATCAGTATGTAATATAAATAATATAACTAATGCCAGCATTCAAAATAATAATGGGGTAAATTACGAAAAAGATACCAATGTGTTACGTGAACATAGCTGGTTATCACCAAATAATGAATATTTTATAAATGATGAGAAGTGTCCAAGTGAACCGAATGGATTTGACGACATATTTGATTATTATGGACAAGAAAATGATTATGATGGTTATGGACAGAATACAATTCACTTCAATGGAGAATCATACAATCTCTTATTAGTTCCGACAAATTTACCTGGGGCTGTCGAAACATTATCGAGTGTACGTTATGGTTTGTTACGTGCATGGATATATGCACTAGCTAAACATCATTATCATCATCATAATCAACAATATCACATGATAATGAAACAATCACCCTTAACAAATGATTTAAACAACAGAAAAGAAACCAAAAGTGACACTAACATTAATAATCATACCTCATCATTAAACATTACAAATAACGTGAATACTAATATGATGGTAGGTAAAAACACTACAGAAAAACGATCAGATACTTCAGAGAGTCGATACTACCCTACAGTATCTGGAAATTATTCACACTCGTATAATCGTGCCGTAATTGGAAGCACTCTGAATCATTGGCTTAAAACGGAGTCACACCTAGCTGCTCTAGTGTAAGTTATATATATATATATATATATATATATATATATATATATATATATATATATATATATATATATATATATATATATATATATAACATTATTATTATTATTGAATTCATGAATATAAACGAAAATCAAATATCGGCAAGTAAATAGAATTAGTGAATAAGTAGACAGGTATTATATTGATGGATGTCTATGAAGGCTGATCATGGTCTTTTAACCTGTCACAACTAGGTAGATTTGAATTTTTTGGACAGAGCAGTGTATAAAACCTACCATAATATTAGCGATAAGTGTTCTTAAGTGAAATTTTCCAATGTTTAAACAAATCTGCCTTCATATTTAAAATTACGAAAACACAAAGATATTATCTGAGGCCAGAGAATATTTCGACCGAAAGGTTTGTTAACAGACACAAACTTATCTATAGTTCAATCAACTCAAACAGCTGTACGAAATAAATTTTTGACACAGATCCTGACCAATAAAACAAGAAGACAAGAAATAGTGATAAATTTCCCAGAGGTTTTGGAAAACCTAGTTAGAGCAGCAGTTATCCTTCGAAACAGTGTTTTCGGTGTATATTACGTAGGATCAATATTCATGAAGGCGTCTCTGAAAATACACTTAGTTTGGAACAAAAGTTTTAATCATAGACTGAAATTGTTTAGAGAATGACTGAAAAACCGTTTTGTTTTCAATAACACAAGCGGTGTAAACACAAATCTTGCGTAAACATCTAAAAGATAATATAACACTGTTTCTTTGTGATACTTAGCTTTTATGTGAGTGAGTTTGTCGTTCATTTAGTTAGTAACAATCAAAGAAGGATCTGACACGAATATACATCGGTCCAAGTTCCTATCCCACATCTGCACGTTGAGATGATGTTGACAGAACTAACACAAAGAGATTAGTGAAAGAAAAGTCAGTTATAGTAGAAAATGAAATATTGACTACTATTGGAAGTTTAAATGTCTCCGAAAAACTCAGTCTTAATAATAGACACAGAGATTAAAAATGTAATATAAAACACAAAATTAACTAGACAGTTTGATGTCTAATTATTAAGCTTAAATTGTATTCAAAACAATTGATTGTGTCTTGTCATTTTTATATACTCATCGGGATATATTTTAAGTCTGCACAATATAGATTTCAGTGACTAATTGTATATCATTAGACTAAAGTTGAAATGAATTGTACCGAACCAAATATAGGACCACAGGATTGCTTTTAGTAATGATAGTGATGGATGATTTTCATCATTGAAATAAGAACAAAACAATACATCCATAGTAAGTAAACAATTTCAATGTTAAAAATGAATAGAGAATAACCTAACAAACATAAGCAAATGTTTGCAATACAGACAGTATGTATATAGGTAGTATAATAAACATTAGTGTTGGTTTTGCTAGTAATATTATTAGCGATGGTATGAATCATACATGATCTAAATGTTAATGCTTAATGAATGTAGTTTCGGTAAACTAAGTCATTTCTGTGACCTCAAATTAACAAGACTTTTCATACTTCATCTTTGTAGTCAATGTAATTAAGCTTGTCATGTGCACTCAAATATCCACGTATATACTGAGAATATATATATATATATATATGATAGCAAATCGACCGGACTGTTAAACTCAATGAGCTTAAATATAAGTAACATGGTTGGTGTTATAAGTGACCTGAATCTGTAAGTAATACATCGGTTAATCGAATTCTTGCAAACGGTTATCTCATTATGAAATGAAACATTTATTTGTGGTTTCATCCAATTATTTTAGTTTGAGGGTACTATTAGATAAATTTGTAATCATGTGATAGAGTCGTGGTACAGGTTAGAAAAATATTACGTTATTGAATGATTCAAAGTTTCTTAACAATGTAACGGTTATTAGCGACGTAATATTCTTATCTTTTTCATTTCAACTGCTTCGATAAATCACAATTTACAGTTGCACAGCAGTACTACTTTGGTGTAAACTCAACGTTATGCTAGTGTTCATCCTGTTAGAAAGCAATGACTATTGAAAGCCTTTTCTATTTTCAACTAGAAAAAAGAGTCTTTGAAATATTATATAAACTAGTAAATCAGTCAAATATGTACACTTCTACTAAACTTCAGAAAGTAACAGGAATTATTTTGGTTGATATCCGAAATATATTTTAAGAGGGAAATAAAAATATGAAAGAACTCATAAGAATGATTTTTGTTTTTAAAATAATAAGTCACTTTGACTTTTTTTTTTTGTTTATTACAGACGTGAAAGGATTAATTTATTGAACATGTATCAACAAACTTATCACTTTAGCGGTGATTCTACTGATTCACAGCCGAATTCTACGTTATCTACTGGCGCTATGGGATTTAACGGTACAGGAAATCTAGATGAACCAGTTAATATATTAAATCAAGACTACTTTAATTCATCTAATATGAATGGATCAGTAGGTAGTGAATTGATGAATTCAAATTTACCACGTAATTTGTCTAATCATCAAACGAATATAATGCAAAATATGGCTGCGTATATTTTATCATCTACTAGTACAAATACTACTACATCTACTACTACAACTGCTACGTCTATAAATAATATCGGTAATCGTGGGTTCATTTATAATACACCAAATGCTGTTGATACAAATTGGTCATATGAAACAGATTCTGATTTAAGAACTGGTCAAACATCTCATACAGATCAGTTATACGAATCAACTCACCAAGGATTGATCATAGGCAATAACAGTAATAATAGTACTCTACATGTTGTATCAGAATTAATTGATCCTTATGCACTAGTTCAACACTTACCTCAGTCACTTTCATCATCCTCACCAGTTCATCAACATCATCACATTCATTCACACCATATACATTCTGCACATGTTCAATCACAGCATAATCATCAAATTCATCTTCATCAAGGTATGAATAATTCGACTTCTATATCTGATACAAATGATAATCATTCATCAGCATTTACAACAACTGCATTAATTTCTGATAATACAATGAACAATAAATCATTAACACTTAATACATGTCTCCTTCCTCAAATAACACCAACGACAACGACAACAGTAACGGATACAGGAACAATAGGGACAACAAATTTTGGTCATGATTTTAATACATCAAATTTTTATACTACAGCCTACTTTAATCTTACTAATTCCAATGCTAATGCTGATAATAATAGTAATGGAAGTAATAATAATGTTATAGATTGTACTAATGCTAATCAATCAAATGATATGACAAATCAAAATTCCACTTTAATTGACTCATTATCACGACCTGGTATACCATCGAATTTAAATCATCGAAGTATGTCACAAAATTCCACATTATGTAACTATCAGTTAACAAATCATACTAATTTATCTGAATCACTTTTATTATCAGAAGAATTGTTACATAATTGTCTGGACAATAAAAAGAAATGTTATGATGAACCAGATGGTGTTCATTCTATACTAACTAAGCATTTAGTGAGTTGATGAAGTTTTTATATGAATGTTTAAATCACGTGTGTATCTAGTCGATAATAGCATAACTGGATAGAGATTTGGTCACATTTTTGTGAAATAATCCTAATAGGATTAAATGGACTGGTTTTCAGACGGTCGATGATTCAATGAATCTCATCGTTAGTTGTATAACTTAGAACAAATATCGTTAACTCCCACAGTTGAAGAAATATTTCTTATATTAATCATGAATAGATCTTGTAAGTAAGCCTTGACGAATATGAAGCGTAAATATAAAACCAAATACAGGCTGCTTACAAACAGCATTAAGACTAAACGGCATCGGATGGATTGGTATTTGATGTATCGAAGGTAAAATTATTTGTTATCTTAATCGAACCTTGTATCGTAAATAAGTGGTCTCTCAAGCGTAATAAACTAGTTTGTATACAGTATTATTTCCTTATAACTGATTTAAACTACATAGATTCCATTGGAGACGTTTGTTAGATCAATGCAGTTCATAATCGAGAAGTTAAGGTAGTCAGAAGGAAACCCTGAAATTAGACTTCTTTCTAGTTGACTTTCATAAACAATAGCCACCCTGTAATCTTGAAGAAAGTGGTGTTTCTTGTGAGATTCGAATCCACATCGTGGAGCATTACAGCTTAAGAAGTTACCACTGATATACTGTAGTCGTGACTGAGATATTAACAGTTGATTGCTCATTATTTAATGACCGAACAGTATATACAATAGCAATTTTTTCTTTAAATACTGTGTTATGAGTTATGAATTAAATTGATAAGAAGATAAACAGATAATGAGCCTAGATTTTTTTTCTTCATGGTATTTGTCAAATGAAATTTAACTTAAGTTGCTTATTGAGTAAGTCATAATAACTTCTCCAGAAATCCTCCTAGCCCTAACATTCATTTAGAATTCTAAATGTACTAGTAATAGATTTTAAACTGTAAAATAACTATTCGGAAGAAGTTGAAGGAAAAATTCAAGCGTTTATCATCCGCCTTGTTAACACTCTGAAATCTAATATTACTTGATTATAGTAAGAAAACCAATCTCTCATTTAGTTTTTTTTTACTTTCATTGTTTAATAGATGCTATTATGTAACTAATTTTTTAAACCTATTAACTACTATTGAGAATTTCGGTATTTATCACAGGAACAATGTATGTTATTATTATGTAAATAACCATTGGAAGTTCTCGCTTGTATGTTAACATTACGGTTATGAATGTGAAATCTATAAGAAATGAAACATTAATAAAACACAAATCTTCTTCCTGTTTTTCAGAGAAATACATCATTTTGTTTATCATCTACACGATCCCCTGAATCATGTGGAGCTGAGAAATTTGTTAAATTAGAAATCTAGAGAGAAAAAAAAGTTTTCAAATGAAATAATACTGACATATATTGGTTACTTTATTATTCATTCAAATTATCATATAAAGTCAATATAAACTTTAATTCACTCTAATCAACTGACACATTCTAATCAAATGATTTGATATTTATCCAGTCATTATTTACTTGGTCTAATCATGTCAATAAGACTGTTCTTTCTTTCTTTCCAAAAAAACACAAAAACAAAACAAAACAATAAAGATCTACAAATTATTTCCATCTATTCAATCTTTTATATACCACAAGTTTTCATTTATTCTATTCAGGCATATGTATGCACATGCATTTGTAAAATTAAAAATGAAATACTTAAAGTAACATGTAACTAACACTACTTGTCTTCATTACATATTATATATCAATTTCAATATCATTGTTTACTATCATCATATTGTACAAGAATATGTACATTATAAGCATTAAAGTATAAACCAGTTATTTGGTTTGTTTTATCTTTTTTTTATTATCTGTAATTTCTTTTTGGTATTTTATTGGCTGTCGCATTTATTGTCCGCCTTGTGTCATTATCATTATTATCATTATCACATGAACTCTTTTAGGATTTCTAATGGAATTCAGTTTCTTTTTTTCAACTTTACTGTCATTTAAACAACAACAACATCTAAGCATTCATCTATTCTTTCTTTTAAAAAAATTAATGCTTTTAGAAACATTCCAAAATGAATACATTGAAGTAATGGTATTCTATTGTTCATTTTCTTAAACTCACTCAATTTTTTTAGTACTAATACGACTATTATTATTATTATTATTATCATCATTGCTTTTTATCGATACACTTAAACATAAAATTTTGATTTCTTTTCCGCATTATTTTCTGTTTTTTTTATACATAAAAATTTTGTTTCCTATTTTCTTGGCTTTATCAAAAAACAAAATACATACATGTATAACATACATATATTATGTTGTTCTGATTAGTGGTTAATCTGTAAAATTAGTGTAATGGTCAAGAAGTTTTATGTTTCTATTAGGCATCTGTTGTGTCTTTATGTCCGACTTTTTATCACGTGATTTATCAGCCAATCGAAATATGATATATACAATCTTAGCACTGTGCCAAACCAATGACGTTCGAGCGGTATGAGCAGCCTAGCGTCTTTGTTGGTCCAATGTTCGCCTAGCCCGTCCATTTGAGTCCAGAACACCAATACCAGCTTCGACTATGCGAATCATATATTTCAAACATACTGGGTTTATATATCAAACAAAGAGACCGCAACGTACCATAAAATAGGGAATAACATTTGTACACAATAAAGCCAAAAAGTGGCTGTGAACGTGGGAGGCAATATTCAATTGACTGAACATAGCTTAAGAACAGTAAATCGTACAATAATAACATATAGGTCAAAATAAAGCTTATAACAAGGGGAATATAGATATACGTAATCTAGTTACTGAATATTTATATCATAAGAATATATAAATAATATGAGTCCATTAATAGGTCTCAGACGTTACTTGTAATATAATCTTCACTAGGATATAACAGCATCTTTACGCAATGGACTAGAAAATTGCGTGAGACTATAATTTATGGACGACATTTGGGCGACGCTGAAGTGACCTTGAGAGTATCTACTTACTTATTAGGGCTAAATGAGGGTTATAAAGCAGTTTAAAAAATAAGGATTATGATTTACAGTTGATAGTTAGGGTTAGGAGTTAGATTTAAAGCTTTTCATCACGAACTGATACCAGCTATAATGCCAAGACTCTATTTAGCCAAATAGGTAAATGAATTTCGCGCCAAAATCTAAGACCTGCTATCGAAAATCTGATTGGTTCATTCATAAATTATAGTCTCGTTGAAAAAATGTTTATCAGGACTGCGGAAATCAAAGGCAAACTGTGGTTAGGAATATGATTCTATTTACTGACGTTAATTAATCTGAATATACTGAAAAAAGAAAGGGTAGCTTAATATTAAAAGAGGTGTGAACCACGCTTCTCCTATTTCACTATGGGTGACATATTAATATCACTAAATGCTGCAGAAAATAGGGTAGCCCATTTGTGAATACATGAGTTAGTAACTTGTTACCAAATCAACCTTAATTATAACCAACCTGATGAGCAAATTTAATATGCTACCATTAAAACAACGGTACAATCGACGGAAAGACCTGATGGTCAGTTATTAGCCTCTTCATTTACATAATACTGATTATTGGAAAATATAGTATTGTATATTGCATGTAGTACTTCTTTACAAATCCAAAACGTTGCTTAAACCATGTTTGTCTTATAGACAGCCACAAATTGTTGAACATTAATTCAAAAAGTATTAAATAAAAATGTTTTGTCAGTATAGAGTTGTGGAGATTATTGAGTTTTTTTTTGTTTTGAGAAACACATTAGAAATAACTTGAAGGCAATTTGGATGTGCTATAGGTGTGCTATAACCTTTATTGACCAAAGAGTGAAATATTGGTATTCCAGTTATTCAACTGAACTCAACAAAATGATATTTCTTAAACATGATTATTACTTCAAGTCACTTTAACGTTTGTTAAATAACTTTTAACTCCCCAAAGGCTTTAGGTTTGGAGCATAAATAGCCTGTTTGTCTAAAGAGTTAGATTTGTATAAAATGACTATGTGGCACTTTTACTGTGTCAGTGCGGTATTTATATGAACTAATAATTCCTTTGTATTTGATGACTGCTTGATTTCGAATTCTAAATACAATACGTTTATTTGTGCTCACCTAGTTCTTTGTGGCTTGAATAGCATTATTTCGGGAATTCCTAGTTCATACAATGATTCAAATACTCTTAATCATCACATTAATATCGCGAGCAGGATTTGATGCAGTCGACATATCTCCCACATAATTCCATTAGAAATACATTAATCATGAGAACAACGCGTATCTGGTAAAATAATATCATGAATCCGACCAGAGTATGATTCATATGAAACATTCAACTTAATAGGATCAGAATTACAAAGTTGAGCATTACTTGCAGCAAAATGGAAAGTAGTATTACAAACTGACTGAATGTGTCCAACCTTTCCATATTTAAAGCACTTAGAATTGTGAAAGACATATGAATTAAATGAGTGAAACATGCCACAGGACAAACATTTACCAAACTTGTGCCCATCTTCGTGACCTGTATCGCAACTCCTCAATGAATTATTATCTGAATAATCTTGAGCATGCATTGGATTGGGATAACATAGTATTGTAGTGGAATTTTCGATGTCCTGATGGATCATTTAATGAATTTTTCCCTCTTTATAGCATTCGGAATTCCTATGCTTTACATGGTCTAGTAGTAGTTCCTTGAGAGTTACATAAGGAAGCGAAATAGGCTTTTCTGGAAATATCAGTCTTTATTAAGCTGTATGCTTTTTTTCCAGTAAATGTAAGTTAATGAGCCATACTATTAATATTTTCAACATCTTCCTCGGTCATAGTCTAGATTTCGAACCATTCCATAGAATCCTCAAAAGCATCAAAATATGAATGTATGTCCAACCGTTCCATCACACTCAACCAACAGCGAATTTATAGTAACTCCAGGAGTATATAAAATTTTGTTTGACTGATGTTCAGTGGTTGGTGCGACAAATATCTCACAGGTGTTACTCGTGGCCTATCTTTGCCACTATATGTGAGGATAAGGCCCAAGAACTACTGTACTGTCAAATGATCGAAAGCTGCATCATATGCTCAGATACTATTTACTCCAAGATTAGTTCCTCAAGTGGTTAGCGTCACGGTTTTGAGTGCATAGGTCGACTAGTAGTAGAGGCTTGATGGCAAATGTCATAGTGCAAATGTATATTCTAAGCCATGACACCACGTTTACAAAAATTAAGCCACATCACCTAGATGGAGTAGTTCTGGTGTAGAGGTTTAATGGCTTTTTGAAGTTCACAATGGAAATGTATATTAAATGGACTGACCAAGGTAAAAAATATATATAAATATACAACCAAATTAATCCGAGACAGAAAATGAAAGTTTAACCCTAAATAAATCGTCGGAAATAATATGAGAATGAATAATTTGCAACTACGTAAGACTACATGTGAACACATTGAGTCTGAGTGTAGAGAAAGTTCAAGCAATTCATAGATTTATATGCAAGAAATGTCACTGCCAAGATATGTACATTTAAATGTTTTGGCAATATACTAACTAGGAGAAAAGGGATACAGTAACTGTTATTACAAACTATAGGTTTACTAGTGACCTGGCAACTAAGTAGCAATGAAAAGGGGAATGACAAAATCACAATTTAAACAAACTATCCCACAACGAATAGTGAGAAATTTATAAATTGAATGAAGTCTGAGAATAAAAGTTATTAACAAGAATTGTTCATACATTCATTCTTGTCTAGTCACCTTTATAATCCACAGTAATAAATGACCCCTAATCTCGATTTTTTAATGTTGACAATTGTCTAGTTGGTGGGGCGTTATCAAAGCCCTGGATAATGAGGAGAGGGGTACTCTCTTGATGGTTTACGATAATTTCTTCTACACTAGTTTTCTAGTGGCCAAACTAAACTAGCAATGTGTGAATAATTTGTTCTAAAACTCATATCACCTTACAGAAGTATCAAGTATGCGTGTAAATACTTAAGTAATTCTCGGCACATAAGTTGTGTTAAACTTTTCGGCAAAGCCGTATAAACTTAAAGGATGAAGATTTTTGAGATGACAGTGGGTTTATGTTTCCAAAATAGGGGTTAACAAGTCACTTTTCTGATTATCTGGTAACTTACCGTTATTTTGACAACTTGAAACGAACACAAAAATGTCTCAAGATGAAATGCTAAAACTTATCTATGGACCCGGGATCAACTGTTTTGGTTGTGTTGATTTTCTTGTATAAAATTGTTTATTGAAAACTGATCGATCACGGAGCACTGAATTATGTTGTGTTTACTTTTAGTGCCTACTGAACTCTAGCTTTCAAGTTGCTACTTGGCTATTAGGCTGAGCAACTCGACACCCTGTATACTGTGCTGATATTACCACTAAAAAGGATCAGACAAAAGTGGGATTAGTTGCTGATTAGAGATCGGTCAATCGTACATAACTCAGTCTTATAAGTCAGTAGCAGCACATATGGCTCAATAGTACGCTTCAAACTGAGAAACAGAGTGGCATGTGACTGAACCCATCTGCGACCATAATTTATATCAAAACTGAGGGTATGTCGTATAAATGAGAGGCAGGTGGATGAAACTGCAATTTGAAGTGCACCCTTTTCAAGAGAATTGCTTATCACAAATACCTATATTCTAAATTCCTATGCTAACGTCTGTCCTATCTGGAATGCTTTTGTTGTCAATTTGACAGCAGCCTCTTCAACAGACTGGTACAAGACGGGGAGATGATCATACCCATGTCAATGGGTTACTTCTTGTACCGGAAAACATTTACATATATACGTATGATAAGATGTTACTGCTCACATTAGTTTCACTTTAACACTCCCTGAAGACAACTTGATTTCTTCCTCTTATTATTGTTATCCCATTCTACCTACATTTACCAATCGTTACTCACATTTATGTTGCCGATGCTATGTCACGTGTCCAAGTGAATGCATTTACTTTACCGGTGCTCAATCGCCCTGCTATGGCGCCCGCCCAATCAAACGATCCTTTTTGTACAGAAGCACCACAGTCTACATCCCTTCAGTGCCAGGAAGTAGCCCTAGCTACTAGCTCAGGTACTATCCTATGTGATACTTCTACTGGTCTTCCCCGACCCATCAT